ATATGCTGACTCTGTAAACCGCTTAGAGAGGGCTGAAAGCCCTGTGAAGCGGTATATAAGTCTAACTGCTATTGCTATTTGATCCCCTTTTGCGACCGTCCAACTAGCGAAGTCAAAGGGGAAGCCCGATTCGCTTAACAACCGCATTACTAACTTAACAACGGCGGTGATTCTCTTAACAACTGGGGCGAAAAAAGATCGTAAAATGGGGCAAAAGTCACTCAACAGTTGTCTTTCTCTTAGCAACAGAAATTTTGGGTTCCATTGTGGTCGTAAGTCAAGGACTACCTGTACTACTTCTGTTGTGGATAATTAAAAATTGCAGAGAAAACAATTCCCACTGATGTTAAGGGCAAAGTTATGAGATGAGAAAACCCCACATCAGATGCCGAGAAAGAAGTTGTTTTATTCCAAATGGTTAGAGATGTGCTTTTTTCAATTGGGTCTGGCACATATTTATGGGCCACTCGGACAAATCTATATTTCTAACTTTTTTTCATTTTTTTTTTCATCCTGAAACGACCGAAAGTTGAAACTTCTCTTAGCAGGAAATCCCCAGAAATGTTGCATATTCTGGCTCAGAATAGTCCTAATCTCATTAATTTGGGAGTAGTTTGTGCTGGCGTTTGGACCACAATCCCTTCATTTAAAACAATAAAAGTTTTTAGAAAGTAGACCCATGTCACCGGTTAAAAAAACCTAAATTGCATTGTTGTTGTTGTTTTTTTCAAAAAAGTTTTATTTCTTTTAAGACAAACATTTCATCATTCCTCAATCAGTAAGACATCGAAGTACAATTTTTTGTATGTCAAAAAAACCTAAATTGCATTGTTGTTGTTGTTTTTTTCAAAAAAGTTTTATTTCTTTTAAGACAAACATTTCATCATTCCTCAATCAGTAAGACATCGAAGTACAATTTTTTGTATGTCAAAAAAACCTAAATTGCATTGTTGACGAATTAGTGATATTGGCTGTGTATTTCTCCTTTTTTTTCCTACTCTCATTAATTTTTTTTAAAAAAAAGAGAAACCTTGCTAGACAATCATGAAGGCAAAGTCCAAATCTGAAGCTTGTGGTGAGCTTGTTGACCCACAATAAAACATTTTTAGCCTCCTCTCTCTTTCTTTCCCAATTCGTGGTGGCCACGTTGCAAGTTTTCCTACTACCGAATCTTCCAGGTCTGTCTAGAGCCAGGTTGCACACGCATGTCGAACTCGGAACCCCACTGAATCTCTCGCAATACAACTTTTCCCGCGTCTCTCTCGCCTCGAGCCTGACTGCGCTCTTCATTTTTTTAACAGCCGTGGCGCATGACTGATTTTTCCTGCTTCTCTCCAGAGAAACTAGCTCCTTTCGGGCTGACGGTGGCAGGGGGAAATGGCTCTACTAATCCTCCTTGGGGGGACAGGGCACCGTGCATGGGGGATTGTTCTGCTGTGAAAGCATGGATCTGAGTGTCACATCTGTGGGCTGTCCCTTCCAGCCGTCCCAGGACAGCCAGGCAGGGCTGGTGATTAGGCTGAACGCTGGTCTTCTTCTGTCTGTGTCTTCTCCATACCGTGTGGCCTTCTTTCCCAACCATTGCACGAATCTCTGTACATTCTTCTCTCTGCATGAGTCATGTTTTTTCCCCCCTCTCTTTTGCATCTCTCTGAGGATTCCTCTTTCGGACCTCTGTTTACATCTTACCTCTGTCGTTCCACCCTCCTTCTCTTGACGTGCAGGTAGAATAAAGCCTAAAGGTAGATCCAGAACCTCAACATCAAGACTTCATTCCCACCTTGTTTTTGCTAGGAATATAAAGCATCAAGTGCTGTTTTTCCCCCTCCCCTCTAAAATTTAGGGCAGGAAGGAGTTGGGTGGGACAGTTGTCACCAGCTACAGCGAAGGGAAGAGGGGCAGGTGTGTGGATTTTCTAGGACTTTATTGGATGAAGTTTGGTGTTATTGTTTCATTGCAAAAAGAAAAGAAAAAAACTAGGAACACAACTCAGTCACCGCTGGGCAGAGAAGCGTAGAGCTCGCCCCAGTCTTGAAAGTTTGAGAGAACTTTGGCAGAGACAGAATCCAAGAACAAAATAGACATTTATTATTGTTAATTAAGAATTTGCATACCATCCAACTCCCGGCGACATTCAAAGGAAATAAAACGGTGTCCTCATAAACAGCAGTGAAGGGACGGGGACAAAACCAAACTCACACAATCAAACAGGGGGGGCTCAGTCACCCTTGCCAAAGATCTGGGTGCGGATCCAACTCTTCCAAGTCCTTTCAAATCTCCAGGAAGGGGGTGGGGTGGGAGATCAACTGGATCAAGGAGGAATTCCACAGGGAGGGCCCAATTCTGGCACCCATTTCTAGCTCAGCTTTGAACCCTAAAGGTGAGGATTTGTCTTCGCGAAGTCGCTTGCTGTTTCCTGGCGTACTGTTGATCATTCCTCTCCCATTTTCATTCCCTCTCCAATCTTTCCTCTATTTGCCTTACGCCATTATTTTTCCTGGTGTCCATCGTTTCCCCCCCCCTCCCTTTTTGTTTATTCAAGTTGTTCCTTCCAGGGTCTTTTGTGTGCAACCTGTTGTCGTGTTTTATCATCCATGCTGTCTGTTAACTCGGAAGATGTTCTCCCTATTATCCTTGAATCAAAAAAATGGGGGGGTGGGGGGTTGTTTCTGGCCGCTTTTGAAAAAAAAACAAAAACACACCCAAATCCAGGAGTCCATTCCGAATTGGAGCTGAAAGGGAGCGAACAAACCCGTCCGAGGCGTTCTATGGCCTTAAACCTAACCAGAGATGTGACACTCAGAACCGAGCACCAAGAATGCTACTAATTTTCTATTCAATTAATTTTCTTTTAAAGACTGAAGCGGCCTCCTCCTCCTCTTCCTCCTCCACCTCCTCGGGAGCCTGGGAGAGGCTCCATAAAGTCAACAAAGATCTCCAGGGCGAATTGGAAGCCCAGTGCCAGAGGCAGGAGATGATCAATCAGCAGATCCAGTCCCTTAAACGTAGCTATGGGGAAGCCAAGGACGTCATCCGACATCATGAAGCCGAGATCCAAAGCTTGCAAGCCAGGCTCAGCAACGCAGCTGCAGACCTCTCTATCAAGGAGCAGACCTTGGCCAAGCTGAAGAGCGACCTGAAGGCTGAGAAGAAGAAAACGGAGGAGCAGATGGAGGAATGGCAACACAGCGAAACGGCCCTGAATTCCCAGCTGAAGGCCAGTGAGCAGAAGCTGAAGAAGGCGGAAGCTCTCCTGCTGGAGAAGACCCAGGAGCTGAGAGATTTGGAGATGCAACAGGCTTTGCAGAGAGACTACCAGAAAGAAGTCCAGCGCCTCCAGGATCGCATCGCTGACCTGAGCCTTCAGCTGAGCGCCGGTGAACAATCCCGAATACTGATGGAGAGGAAGCTGCAGAAGAATTATGAGTCTTTGCTGGAAAGCTGTGAGAGGGAGAAGCAAATCTTGATCCAGAGCCTCAAAGAAGTGGAGGATAAAGCCAGTGAATATGAGAACCAGCTCCAGAATAACGAGCAACAGAAGGAGATCCTTCAGAAGGAGAAGCTGAGTGCCAAGTTTGAAAGCAGTGAACTGGTCCATCAACTGGAGGACCAGCTAGAAATGAAAGAAGCCAGCATCCGGAATCTAGTGGAGCATATCAAGAGTCTCGAGGAGGAAAGGGATCAAATTAAATGCCGCTTCCAAGAGTTGATGAACCAAGTCGCCGAGTCCGATAATGAGGTGGCTAAGTTGCAAGCCAAGCTACAGCTGCAGGAGAGCAGCTACCACACTCTGGAGCATTCCCACGAGGTGGTGTCAGAGCAGTTCCATAACTTGCAGCAGATCCTGCAAGAGAAAGAGGAGGAGTTGAGACAAGTCAGAGAAACCCACTTGAGCTTTGTGGAGAGCAAGGAGCAGCCTCTCACTACCATGGGTAGCAGCGGAGGAGAAAAAGAAGACCGCCCCGCCAAAGAAGAGGATTTGAAAACATCGGCTGAAGGAAGTACCGAGCTGAAGGTTGAAACCAACGCAACTGAGATTGTCAAGGTTGAAGAGCCAGCACGATATCCCCCAAGGCCAGGGAGACTTCCAGATCTGGGATGCATGCTTCTTGAGGAGAGTCACGAAGGACCCAGTAGCAGCCAGCGGCAAACCTGCGGGCGCACTGTGGTGAGCATTGAAGAATGTTCTTCTCCATCCAAGCCAGTAGATCTTCCGGAAATAGAGATGGGTCAGAAAGATTCAACGAAACTTGATGCGGAAATACCCGGAGCCAAAAGACAACGGATACGTTTTTCCAATATCCAGTGCCAAAAATATATCCATCCTGATGGGTCGGAGAAGATGTGGGCCAGCAGCACTTCCTCGGACACCAGCCAGGAACGGTCACTTTCAGAAGAAAGCATGACTTCTGAACCTGCTTTCTGTTACCCAGCCTCGGGTGATTCTGAGACCTACTTATCTATCATTCACTCCCTGGAAACCAAACTTTACATCACCGAAGAGAAGCTCAAAGATGTAACCATGAAACTTGAAAGCCAGCAGGGCCAAAATCAAGACGCCCTGATGGCCCTTCACCAGCAGTGGTCCGGCATTGAAGCTCAGCTGAGAGAACAGCTTCAAGACAGCTTGACTCAAATTAGAGGGTTGGTGTCTCAGGTGGAAAGCGAGAAGGAGGAAAAAGTCAAGCTGAACGAGAACCACATCTACGAACTGGGCAAGCTCCATGAAAAGGCCAGCCGAGCCTTAACGTGCTTAAATGGGTGCAAAGAAGAACTGAAAAAACACGTGGGCACCTCTGAGAAAGAGAAAGAGGAAGCGGTGTTCTTGGATGCTCTGTCCAGCATTGAAAGTACTTTGATGGATGCAATCCAGATGTTACAGCAGGCACTTCCTCCGGCTGAACACCAGCCAGAAGGACATCTTGCAGTCCAAGCTTTGCAGGCTGAAGGCATCTGCTGGGATGAGAACGAAGCTTCTCCCCAAGGGAAGCAACATCTGGAAATTTCTGTAGAAGAACAGCTGAAGCTGCTTTCCAAGAGGGTGGCTTTTGAAGCTTGCTTGATCAACCAGATCGCAGAGTCTCTGACAGATGCGTCTTCAAAGATCTCAGTGACTCTCGGAGAGATCCATGCCACTCTGGAGACCGTCTTATTGGAGCCTTCAAACATTTCACATACCGCTGTGGCTTTGGCCGACATCTTGTCCAAGAAGCTGTTGTTGGAAGATGAGTTTTGGAGGCAGGTAGAAGAATTAAGGAAGCACTTGAGGGTCAGAGAAGAAGGGGAGGAAGGGAAGATGGAGACCTCCGACGTTCCTCAGTATCTCATCCAGTCGGTTACCGACAGTACGCTGGTTAAAGCCGAACTGGGTTTTGTGGCTCAGACAATGAGAGAATCCTTCCATCAGAGATTGAAAGCCATGGAAGAAGACCTCCACAACGCCAAAACGGCCCTCCAGCAGCACAAGTGCATGTTGGAAGAAATCATTAAAGCCTACAAATCTCCTGAATTTGACGGGATCATGCACCAGATCTCCAAAGCCCTTGAGATCCAAGAAGGCATTTCAGAAGCAGCCCGACCGACTTGGCAAGGCAGCCTTCAGGATCGCGTTCTGGAAGCTCAGAGCGCGCAGGATCTCGGCAGTCAAGCTCTGGCTGCCGTCCAGGATGATTTGGCTCAGCAGCTCAGAGACAGAGCCAATGTTCTTAAAGACATTGCGGCCGCCCTCCTCTCCGTGTCCCCTGACAACGCCTTGATAGATTGCCATAAGCTCCTGAAAATCTCACGCAGCCCTCCTTACGAGATGTGCATGGGGGATCTCGAACGCTACTCTTCCCTCTTGGTTCAGGACGCCATTATTCAGGCCCAGGTTTGTTACGGGGCCTACAGAGCAAGACTGGAGTACACAAAGGAAGCCAACGTGTACAAGGAATCCCTGCAAAATATGGACGCCTTGTGCCAGGAGCGCATACGGGCAGTCACGGTCCTCAGAGAGGAGTACGAAACACTGCTGCAGAAGCAGCAGAACGAATTTGCCGAGATGATTGCCATGCTCAAAAGAGAGAACGAAGACCTCCGGGCCAAGGTGGAGCAGCTGGACAACCAGCGAAGGCTCCTGGAAGAGGAAGAACGCAAGCAGAGCCAAAAAATAGCAGAACTCCAGAGCCGATACGACCAGGAGATGCAGAAGGTGGCTGAGCAGCTCCGCAGGACCGAGGACACCCTTCAGGGGGAGCGAATTGAGGGGAGCCAGCAGGTGGAGGCCCTCGTGCAAGACAAGCAGAACCTGGAGAGGTACCACCTTGAGCAAATGCAAAGCTTAGAAGAAAAGTTCCAGGTCAAGATGAAAGAAATCCAGCTCCTTCACGACGAGGAGCTGCAGATCCTGCAGCAGCACTACAACCAGAATCTCAAGAGCTTGGAAGAATCGCTGGAGAAGTATCAGAAGGAGCCTCCTGAAACCACCTCCGGGGCAGAAGCACCGGGAGAAGACCAACAAGACAATGGGATCCAAGTCTTGGGCGATGATCCCAATGCCCTCCACGGATTGAGGGAGAGGATTCAAGAACTGGAATCCCAGATGAACGTCATGAGGGATGAGCTGGAGAACAAGCAGCTGGAAGGGAACGCGCCCACCTTGAGGGAGAAATACCAGAAGGACTTTGAGAACTTTAAGGTCTTTATTCACCTTATCTTGCTACCTTGCGGTCATGTAGTCTGACCACCCCCCCCCCCTTTCCCTTGTTAAACGCAAGCATGCTAATTAACCAGCTGGCCTGCAGGTAGAATCCAGCGATAGAAGCTTTCTCAAGGCATTTCACTTTTTAAAACTAGCGACAATGGGCCACCAGTTTAGCTTCCTAGGGCCTTGGACGCATTTAAGCCAGAATGTGAGAGTCCTTGGGATTAGACAAATCCCTTGACCTTTTGGGAACAAACTGGCCATTTTTCCCCCAGTGCTGACATCATTATCTTGACATTATGAAGTTCCAAGTCACCGACTTAATCAAAGGTGACCTTCTGAAGATTAGGAGGGTTGGAGGGCCGCGTGCCAGGAAAACTCCAGATTAAGATAACACCCTCTCAAATGGAGGCTCACAGACTGTCCTTGGGTGGTGGTGGTGGGGTTTTCCGCCCCTAGAAATTCGGCCCATCTCCCCCTCCCTCCATTAGGAAAGGTGACGTTCCTCTGATTGTAATAATTGTCCACCCTAAAGAGGGCGCTTGTCTTCCCCCCCCCGCCCTTTCATAATGGGACAGGGTGCTTGTTGTTTCTCACTATTTACTCCCCATGTCTAAAAACTTCTAACTGCATCAGCATCATCGCTTGTGTTTAAAATCACCCCAACTGCATCCATTCATCGCCCATCAAAGAGCCGATGTTCCAATAAGGATTCTCATTTTGAGATAGATGCTGACTCTTACGGCGTTCCCTCCTTGCAAACTCTTTGTAATTTCACTCGGGTGTGAGGAGGTGGGATGTGGTGAGGTTCCTCTGATTTGCCATAATTGCACACCCTAAAGAGGGCACTTCAACACGGCAGCCTAACCTTAAAGTAGTGAGGCTCTTTGCCATTCACACCACACATCGATTGAGCAATGGGCTGTGGTGGATTCCTGGTTATGAATAAGGAGTAGCGTTAGGCACTGTGATGGCGCCATGGTTAGAATGCAGTATTGCAGGCTGACTCTGCCCACTGCCAGGAGTTCGATCCTGACCAGTTCAAGGTTGACTCAGCCTTTCATCCTTCCGAGGTGGGTAAAATGAGGACCCAGATTGTTGAGGGCACTATGCAGACTCTGTAAATTGCTTAGAGGGCTGTAGAGCACTGGGAAGCGGTACATAAGTCTAAGCGCTCTTGCTATTGAGAGAGTTATGGTTTAGGGAATCCTTACTCATGGGAAGTCCTCCTCCTGATACACAAAGGAGGAAGAAGGACTGAGTAGATTTTGTAAGCTAGAATTAGAATTGTTAGTCCCTGCAAGAGCGGTTCTTTTTTCCTCCCCAAGTTTGAATGCCCACATCCTTTTAGAAGCTTTTCAAGGGATCCTAAAATAATAGCAATAGCAGTTAGACTTATATACCGCTTCATAGGGCTTTCAGCCCTCTCTAAGCGGTTTACAGAGTCAGCATATCGCCCCCACAGTCTGGGTCCTCATTTCACCCACCTCGGAAGGATGGAAGGCTGAGTCAACCTTGAGCCGGTGAGTTTTGAACCACCGAACTGCAGCTAGCAGTCAGCTGAAGTGGCTTGCAGTACTGCAACCTAACCACTGCGCCACCTCGGCTCTCTTAAGACTTCCTTAAAAGCTTTTGGACTGCTTCTTCCATTAATAGTAAAGATTGGTAGTGGCGGTGATGGAGAATGCTAGATCTTCTAAGCTAGCTAGGAACCGATATGTCCTTCACCACATGAGTGTTCCTTCTGGGACTTGTGTCTTCTCACTAGAGGTGGAGATAGCATCCATGCATGGGTTGACGTTGTCAAACTCTTGGATTGGACTGAGTCTGAATTCAGATAGTTAAGACACACCCCTGTCGTTAGCCACTCCCAGCTTTCGACTCAGTCCACTCCTGCCTATATCGTTACTGGGTGTTCTTTTTATTTTCTTAATGGACTGGGGCAACCTGCCAATGCAATCCTCCTTTCTGGCTTCCTTGAAGGCAACGTGTGAACGGGGGTTTGCAGCCATGGAAGAGACCCACCAGAAGAAGATTGAGGACTTGCAGAGGCAGCATCAGCGAGAGCTGGAGAAGCTGAGAGAGGAGAAGGACCGTTTGCTGGACGAGGAAACGGCTGCCACGATCTCCGGTAGGTGGTCCAAGAGGGTTCCACCACAAAACCGCGCTCAACGAAACCGCGTTCGACAAAACCGCGTAGCTGACATCATCAACAGCGCGACAACAGCGCGGAGAAAAAAGCACGCTGTAAACGCTAAACCTAAAATTAACCCCTAAACCTAAACCTAACCCCCCTAAACCTAATCCTAAACCTAACCCTAAACCTAACCTTTAACCTAACCCTAAACCTAACCCTTAACCTAACCCTAAACCTAACCCTAAAGCTAACCCTTACCTTAAGTTGAATCGGCTTGCTTTCAAAGCGCTATTTAAAGCGCCCTTCTTTCTCCGCGCTGGCTGTTGTCGCCCTGTTGATGATGTCAGCGACGTGGTTTAGTTGGGCGCGGTTTAGTCGAGCACGGTTTTGTCGTGCCACGGTCCAAGAGAAGAGAATGTGGAAGACGGAGGTGTGTTTTCCCTACAACTGTTTGTAGGTAGTCCTCAGCTTACAACCAGTTGCTTCGCCACTGTTCCAAGTTATGATGGTCCTCCCCAGAGCTACATATGATCCCTTTTCAGAGTTATGACAGACACAGACAGACAAATACACACAAACACACTGTGGCCATGTGACCACGATTTGCTGGGTTTCCAGTGTTTACTTCTAGTTTCTGGCAAAAACAACCCCCAGTTGGGAAAAAAAAGGCCACAATGTTTACTTAGTGATAGCTGCAAAAAAAATATGTCTTAAAATCTGATCTGGCCTCACGATGCCTCGACTTACAACTGCAATAACTTAACAGCCATCATTCTGGGCTCCCTGATGGTTGTAAATCTAGGATTTCCTGTAATTCTTCCTTTCCTTTCCTTTCCAGCCATAGAAGCCATGAAGAACGCTCACCGGGAGGAACTTGAACGGGAGTTGGAAAAAACCCATCGCTCCCAAATTAGCAGCATCAATTCCGACATTGAGGCTCTGCAGAGACAATACTTGTAAGGATCTCTTGGCATCTTCTGGTCGTTCATGCTTGCCTTCTGGAGCCACATCGGTTGGGTTCCGTTGTGCATTGTTGGCCTTTGAAATATTCTGAGCTCGTCTGCACCCTAGGATCATTATACGAGCACCCAAACACCCAACCTATTTGATTTTTCTACAGCTATCCAGGTGTGGAGCATGGCTGTCCACATGAGCTGCTGATGGCTCATTTTAATTCTCGGTTTCTTAGACTCCAAAATTCTTCTATTCGTAGTACATTTTGTTTTTATTTATGAGCCTCTCCATAAGCCTTTGGCTGCAATGGGGACATATTTTCTGCAAATATGTGCGCGCACACACACACAAACACAAACACATACACACACACAACCTCATAATTTATTTTGAGGAGGTCATGGAAGGGTAATAAACAGATTTATTCTCGCAGATGCACCCAAAAATGACCTAAACTGAATTTATAGATTTGTGCTTTAGGAGAAATGAATTCCTCATGTCAGATTTGGACCAAGCTCAGTTTCTAGAACTTAATTTATTAGATTTTTTTGAGAAAAATCACTTAAGGCTTTTCTCAGGAAAAAAAAAGTCTTACATATATGACTGTCCCAGTTTTCTACTCTCTTCATCCATTCTCTGGCAAGAAAGAGAGAGGGGGGGATAGATAGATAGATAGATAGATAGATAGATAGATAGATAGATAGATAGATAGATAGATAGATAGATAGAT